CGTATCACCCTACAGTTGATAGGCAACAGCCCCGTCAAAACGTTCTTTGGCAACAAATAATTGTTGGATGCATCTATATGGCCCGTGTCATGTCAAAGGAAAGTAGGTGATGACCTCTTCTCAGAGGACTCTGACTGTCATTCCAGTCGTTTGACCTTTGGATATACGTGGATAATTATGGCTCTGCAGCCCTTTGTTTAGGACATGGCCGTTTTTTCAGTTTCTTGGCCCCATGCACAGTCGATAGGACTCCTTGGACGGGGATCAGGCTGTCGCAAGCCCGCTACCTACACACAGAACAACACAAACAGAATAAACGCACACAGACATCCATGTCTCAAGTGTGATTCGAGCCCGTGATCCCAGAGTTCGGGTGAGCGAAGACAGTTCATGCCTTAGACTGCGCGGCCACTGTGTTAGGCAGATATCCGTGGATATCCATGCAGAACTGTTTTCTTATCCTCGTGCTGTGCATTATGTATATCGCTATATATCGTGCAATTTCGTATTTGAATACGAATTGCGACATAATTATAATCCAAACCACGAAGCCTCAGTGTTAGTGTCTTAGTAACGCTTTCTATCTCACACCTTATCGCTCTGCGTAACCTTGGTTACGTTTTAATTGCCTCAGCACGCAAGGGCAACACATGCACTGCGTCTCCACTAGGCTTCTACCGCGTACGAGGCTCTCGCCTAATGCATATACATTAAGCCTCCTTTAACAATTTGTGACGCTCCATACGAAAATGACGTAAGAAGAACACGATTAAGTCACTTCCACATTTTTACAATTAAAGCATGCTTCTGAAATCTATTATATTTGTAAAAGCAGCCTGGATAGCTCAGTCGGTATAGCGACGAGCTAAGTGCAGGAAGGCTACAGTTCGAACACTGACAGAGGCAAGAAATGTGTCCTCTACTCCATCAGACCGGATCTGGAGCCCACCAAGCCTCCTCTTCCAATGGGTACCGGGACTCTTTCCCCTAGGGTAAAGTGGCCGGGGCGTGAAGCTGACAACTCATCTACATCTCGTTCTGAGGTCAAGACTAATGGAGCTATACCTCCACTCCTCCATAAGTCATCATGGCGTGGTACTTAAATAAATTAAGCACAGGGACAATTTACCTTTTGTTTTTTACCTTTATTAAATTTGTAAAACTTCGTAATGTTTAATGTAAAATAAACACAGGAAATTATTGTCTTAATTCTTACGATAAGGAACGTAGAGCCTTACGCATTCAAGGTATTTCTCTACAACCGAGCGCATTTGCCTGCTGGCAATGCTGAGAACTGACATTCCCGGGGTGTCTGGTACCCGATGGGCGGGAGGCTATTTGTGTACACCAGGGCCGGTCTGGACGCTGTGGGGAAGAGAAGCCCGGTCATCCAGCACGCAGCTCGTGGTTATACCGACCGATCTATCGCAGCTTCTTCGTTTATTTATCTATTTAAAATTCATTTAACGACTCTGTCAGAGTATACAGTGTATAGTTATTCAATAATATTTAATAATGGAAATGTAGTGGAAAGAACAGGTTCGTCGATTAATGTAAAGCGATATACTGTAAATTTACTGGAACACTGAGGAAGCCCATGAATAATCTAAATGAAGATAGCGGTGTATGTGAAGAGATTCGAAACGAGCACATCCCGAATACAAGGCAGCAGCTCTGCTACATGACGTTCGCCAAATAAAATGTTTACTATTAGATAGAACAAGCAGTTATGTGTAAACACGCCACCTAACTCTATGGAGCAAAGACCGCCCAGACAATCCAACAGTCTCTCAACTAGTGAAGAAATTCTTCGGCTCTATGAAACCCAATGGCCCATTACATATTGATAAGAAACCCGCCACTGGTCCCTACTGTGGGCTAAAAGAAGCCGCCCACCCCATCCTACTTCTGCAAGACCCAAACACATATTAAACTTTATATAAAGGTGAGGCTAGAGCCTAAAGCCGCGGTAACAAAGGTTTACAGCTCGCTGCGTCTATGAAGGTTGATAGATGAGGTACCGGCGACTGTGAAGGTCCACAGCTGAAGTAACGAGATTCTGCTCTTTAAAGAAGTTTCTTTCTCCGAAATTTCCTTCGTTTGCAGACACGAGCTAGAAAGACACCGATGTGTTGAACTGATACTGTTCAAATCATCACCATTTAACTTTGAAAGTCGTTATAGCATTACGTCAATGACTTCCATCTCTGAAATAAGACAAGTCAATTTTACAATTAGAATCAATAGTTATTCAACTGGATGTAAGATACCCTAACTTTTTACTTAACGACGGTTTCAATATCGAAAATAAACAGCATTGCATCTTAGGATAAATGAAAGGATTCAAAAGGAAGCGGTCGTGGCCTAATCGAGGTATTATGCTTGAATTTGCCTGAAGGGACTGAGAAGAACCAAGAGAAACATCAGCAAGGATAGCTTATGTCATGCCCGAAATTAGAACAACACTTGAGGAATAGAAGTCTCAAGCGCTGCCTGCACACAGTCTGTTCATTCTCCGTCTTTCACGGAGCCTGTTTTCGAAATTGTCTGCTACTAGTCCTTATCTTGAGCCAGATCAATAAGGTATTTCTTTATTATCCTTTTTACTATTATACACCCATGCATGGCTAGATATTCAAATTAGTCTCTTCTATTCAGGTTTTCTGATTAACATTTTATATTTCCATCTGTCCAAAGATTTATACACCTACATTCCCGCAAACCCCATTCTTCTTGATAATTCAACCTACTAACGTTTAGTGAAGAGCATAAATTGTGAAGTTTGCCATGCGTGCTTTTCTCTAGCCTTTTTAGGTCCAGATATTCTTCCCGACACCTTGTTCTCAGGCATCTTGTATTTTTACTTTTCTCTTAACCCTTTCAAGGATGTAGAAGAGAGAAGGAGATAAGAAAGTGGGGAGCAGTAAGAGACACTACATTTAAGGGACGGACATCAATTTTTCCGGCTTTGAAGGTCTTCCTTCTGGTAGAGCTACATTTGAGAGAGGGTAAAGCTTTAGGAGGTGAAAAGGGTAAAGTGTGAGGATGTGGACTCTGTTATGAGCACAGGAGGGCAGCACGTAAATCTCATATAGACTGAACTTCTAAATAATATATAAACATTCAGTTCGTACATCACCGGAAACACATTACGTCTCCGCTACAAAGCCCAACCGGTTAATGCTGTTTAGGGAAATAATCGTTGTTTATTGCGCGAGCCATACAAAACACACAAATGCACTCTGTGGGCAAAATGTAGAGTTTTAGAGTGCTAAAGAAAGTGATACGCCGGTCACGGTAGCCGAGTGGTCTAAGGCATGCACTGTCTTCGCTCGCTCGGAAGCCGGGATCGTGGGTTCGAATCTCACTCAGGGCATGGGTGTTTGTGTGCGTTTTTCTGTGTTTGTGTACAGGTAAAGGCCTTGCGACGAGCTGATCACTCGCCCAAGGAGTCCTACCGTATGTGTAAGATCTAGAAAAACCGAAGTGAACGGAATTCATGGAGGTAGGCCTAGGCCCACTGGGGCTGTAATGCCAAGGGGGGAAAAAAGCAAGTGATACAGGTAGTAACCACTGTGTTCCAAAGGGTTAGTGTGAGATACTATTTTTCACGCACAACAAAATTCACTCACTATCGATTTTTCGGAAACAGATAATTGGATAGGCATTCCAAAATTCTCCCTTTATGTTCCAAATTTATTTTTCGTAACGACGGCTCCGATCCAATATATCGCGGGCCTCCTTCTTTTACTACACTGGCCTGAAGCCAGAGTCTGTGTGTGCAAGCAGACTGGTTCCTGCGGAAAACAAAGCAACATCAGCAGCTGGCGGAATAATGAGCTAGGAACTATCAGTGTAATGCAATTTCAATAGGACAGAGTTTGCCTTAGAGCGCCTGTGAATGCAGTCAGGTTTACTGTGCAGTAATTGCCAGATCCTATTATCGGCTCGCCAGCTTCATCACAATTATGTGATGACTACCTGGAGTATCACCTACATAATTAACATGCTGCACCATACTGGATAGCATTAACATAAACACAAATTACAATTTCTTTGTGGTTTTCATGAAAATGTTCATTCAGATTGTGATCTTATGGGTGATGAGTCCGTATAAACTTCTAGGTGGATTCTGACGTTTCGGAGGTATATTCTTCCTCTATCTTCAGGTTTGAAATTGCGTCGATGAAACGATTCACTCAAATACGGTAGCAGAGCTATCGCTCGAAACGTCTTATATCAAAACACCTCCGACAAAAAACAATTCGTGTAGGTTATCTCAGGCTGCTCCACATCATGAACTGAAGTAAAAGGCCATAATGATGTCTAGTTCCTGATTACATTCCATTGAATGAGACATTTTTCTTTTTGGCACTTGGCACTTGTCACGCATTCGTACATACACAAATATGAGTATAGTCTACGTGAATATAAAACGCACACCTACATATATATATACAGAATGCCCCAGGAGGAAAAGTCAGTATTCTGGTAGGTATGTGTCCATTCACATATATACCAGGTTGGGATATTTCAATAGATATAGCCACTAGATTACAAGCTGGATGACTGAGGAATCGAAGTTCGATTCACGTCAAGGAGAAAGAGGTTTCTCTCTTCTTCAAGGCGTCCAGACCGGCTCTGCGGCCCACCCTCCTACACAATAAATATCGCGGGCTCCTTCCGTGGAGGTAAAGCGGCAGGAACGTGAAGCTGATCACCCACTTCCAACTAATGCCGAGGTTGAGAAGGGTGAAACTATATCTCTACTTCAACTTACATCTTCATTACACGGCAATTAATTAATTTCGCACAAGGACAACTTTACCTTGTGCCTTCACATACTCGCACCTAACATATATGCACACACACTCACAAGTACATATATTTACATTACGTTACATTATTCATGTCTCTCTGTGTATATGTACACATGCATTCCTGAATGGGAACAGCTAATGCTGATTACTCTAGCTCTCTGTTGTTTCTGTGTGTTGCAGGCATGGTGAAGCAAGTAAAGGGGGGCTACCTCCTGCGATACAAGAGTAAGTACAAATGTCTCTATTATAAATGAGTTTGCCTTACAAGCCACTCATAAAATATGGTTAAAATGGCACACATTAAGCGCAATTAATCTAATTGCTTCTTACCTTCATTTTCTGCATCCCCTTCTGCATCATGATTAAAGGTGTGATCGAGTGATTGATTGATTATATAATCGATTGCTTATAAACCTATATTAAAATGTTTAAACATTCGGTTTATTTTATTTTCACACCTCTACATGTTTCGACCTGCGAAGTTCATCATCAGGTGATTTACGCATACATAAATCGTTATTGAATATAAAAATAATTTCTTTACATTTTACCAATAACATTATAAAGAATGTCGTCTACTGGGATGTAGCACCATTGTAGATCTTGTGTAAACCGACGTTTCGGAGGAACGTATCGCCTTCATCTTCAAGGTAGAAAAATCCGCTAGCGAGGAACCAGCGTGAGCAGGTGGCTGCAGACTGAGTCACCAGTCGAAAACGCCTAGCCATATAAGAACAGGAAGAAGGGAGAGTGAGCCATATGGGAAATCAATAAAGATGAGAGGGGAACGGTTTGTTGAGATGGGCCAGCAGGTAGCAGGTCAGAGCCAGTATAGGGTAGTTCGGGGGGGAAGAGGCAGGGATACCGGGAGTGCATTGACCCAATAGCCTCGGGGCTAAGCTGAAGATGGAGGCGATGCGTTCCTCCGAAACGTCGGTTTATACAAGATCTACACGGCGCCACATCAAGACGGCATTCTTCATAGTCACCGCCGCGAAAACCTCAAATCTTTCAATAATGTTATGTGAATTTCAATATTTAAGTTTTAGTGGGATATATCTCGAATAACCTGTGTTATAATGTGCTAACATTTGAAATCTAGGAGTTTACATAAATTACATACAAAGAGGATTTTACTTTTTGAATTGGGGGAGGGTGGTGTGTTAAGGTACCGGCTGTTGCGTCGTCTGGATCAGCTTCGTAGTTTTTTATGTTTTTAGGCTCTCGAAACCTTCTTATGGCGCGCGAAGGTAATTGGTCGGCATTCGGAGTTCTTGATATTATGACACTACACGGTTTTTTGTGCCTCGCAAAGTTTACGTAAATATTGCGTTACTTTGCATATAGAAAACTACCTGTATGAGTTTCTGAGCTTTGGTATGAGCTCTCGATCACAGATCGAAACATGTAGTGGTAACAGGCCGTGGAGACCCATATAGATTTGTGAGACGTCGAGGCTCCCACATTTTCTAGACAATCGGCTCACAGATGGCGGTGAGGTCAGTCTTACGCGCCGATCGTCTGTTTACGCCCAGGAACATTCCTGGTACTCATATGTGTTAGAGGCTGAGTCGACCCCAGGGGCCATAGCGCCGTTGGAAGGATTAGTCCAAATGAAAAATCCAATGACCTCATCGGGAATCGAACCAACTACGCTACCGCGTGCTTCTAAACATGTAGGGGGGACGACAGTAAAATAACAGGAGTATTAAATATTTTAATATCGGTTTATAATCGATTGTTGTATTGACGTCTCTCAATTTACCTGTAATTGTTTATCATATTTCAAATGGTACTGCATATACGGCCACGTGATGCAAGAGGAAATTACTGCCAATTAATGAACATTTTGTATACTTCTGTACTGTTACGTAATATTTTCTTTACTTGAGTCCGTTACCATCTTCACTTCTAGTGACCGAAATGGTCAGATGGCTGTACAAGTATAAGGCGAAGCGAAGCAGCAGATAGGTAACACAGAACCAGCTCACTAATGCCTTCCAGAAGTCCTAACCTTTATAGCTTACAAATTCCCCATAATATAAGGCGTAAGAGATAACTTTATGAGCACTCGAAAACTTATGAAAAACAATAAAATTATATTTCATGTCAGATTCTCACAGGGGTGACCCTGAAGCGTACTGTCTTCTGGGACGTAAGGCCTTGTAGTTCGGTACAGAGATCCACTGACGTTTCGGGCGAACTTCTTTGGGCCTCTAACAATTTCACTGCGTTATCTAAAGAAAAAGCTACAAAAGGAGACTTTGCTTCATGGAAGTATGTTACTATTAAGGAAGGCAGCTAAAGGTGCGATTCTGAATTGTATTCGGAAAGCAGCGGGTCCGCTTCTTAGCCGGGACTGCCCTTAGATTCTTCTCGGTTTTCCTCACTCTGTCCTGGTAGCTGATGTGGGATATTATTTTGAACTCGGCCACGATATCTTTTCACATCTTTTTCATTTGTTTAAGATTCAAAATCTCAAAGGGTCATGACAGACAAGACTGTATTTTAGAAGTCTTTAAAATGAAAATATAATTCGGAAAAACTAAAGAACAAACTAAGTCCATGGAGATGCAAGTAGTTACTATAGGATTCTGACGAGGGGTGTATAATACACAGACATATTGGGTTTTCGGACTTTATCCATCGTCCTGGTTTTAAGATAACTAAGAAAAACACGACGTTTCGGAAACTGGATCTGTTTCCGTCCTCAGGACCAGAGATTGAGGCTAGCTCTTTCTAAGGACCCCAACAGAATAGGTGTTTTCCCTCACCTGAGGACGGAAACAGATCCAGTTTCCGAAACGTCGTGTTTTTCTTAGTTATGTTAAAACCAGGGCGATGGATATAGTCCGAAAGCCCAATATCTCTCCATTGAGATGCGTTCTTCAGAACCTGCCAGTCGCTCAGCTATTCCAGAATCTTAATATTTTATGGGATCTATAGGTTTATTGTCGCGTTCACAAGAACCCGTCACTTTTCCGTATGCTGAGCCAGATGAATCCAGACCATTGGGCCCCATCTTATTTCTTTAAAATCCATTTTAATATTATCCTCCAATCTCATTCTACACGCTCCTAGTGTTAGCTTTTCTTCTGATTTTCCTACCAAAGCCTTTCATACATTAATATTTTCTTTTCACGCGTGCTACATTCCTTGGTCATGTTATCACCTTGACTAGATTTTTCTAATTGTGTTTTGCAAGGAGTACAATTTGTGAAGCTCCTCGTTCTGCAACTTATTTTTCAGAAAGACATTCTGGTAAAAACTAAAGCAAATATACTCGTAGCATGAAAAAGTGTAGAGCAAAAAAACAAATCAGAGTTTCTATACACATATTCATCCCGTATAGAATAAAGGATCCTATGTGTTTTCCAGTTCGTTGAAAAGAATTCTATAATGTGTTGCCCAGACTGACAATCGCTGTTTTTTAAAATAAAATAACACAATAAACGGGGAATGATAGGATATTCTACCTCTGTTCCTTTGTTGATGAATTCCCTCATATCCGTTCTAAACTCAGGATGTTACGTCCCGTTGAAAACAAAGCCATCTCTTACGTGAATGTTTGATACAGTTGTGGCGTACGGGATTCATATCTTGAGCTAAATGGGAAAATACAATAAACAGAGAGAGACAGAAAACTACATTAGCTCTGTTTGTATCATTACGAACTGGACTAAACTTATTTCAAAATTACACAGTTCAATTTAAAAACACCAGCTTAAATACGTTATGTTCAACATCTCAACTGGTGCTTGTAGAAACACATTTTTTGAATTTGGAAAAATCACGAGAGCTGTGTCTTACACACGTTGTGTTCAAAATTGCGTTATTCAGGATTTTGGAACTGATATTTATACCGTGAAATCGTCACATCCTTCCTAACCATGCTATGTTTCTTCTTCTTCCTCTTCTTTTTCCTGTTGTTTTCACTTGGAGCATAGGATATCCGTGAAACGCTTTGTTTCACTTCAGTTTCTTAATCTAAGATAGTCGGTAGGATTACTTGGACGGGGGATCAGCCTGTGGCAAAGCCACTACCTAACACAACACAGAATAAACATAGACATCAATGCCTTGTGTGGGATTCGAGCCCACGATCCCAGTGTTCGAGCTTGCAAAGACACGTCTGTCTGAGAAGGCGCACGCCAGTGTGATCGGCTAGGTTTCGGATTAATAACTGTTAATAATTTGAAGCTGAAATAGTTATTCTAATTTTAAATTATGTATCAAAATTGGAAAGGGGTTACTCTATAATATTGTAGCGTGCCGCCGAAAAGTCGGGCAATAAGACGTCCATTAATAGGCAATGGCTGCAATAAGAATGTACGGTATACTTAAGTGGAAAGGCAATACCAGCAGACTGTTGCGTAGGAATCGCCTAAACAACAAATGCGTTTCTCCCGAAATGAAAGGATATCCATGGAAACGACTACTACTGGCAGATAAAACGGAACCCTTGAACACGATGTTTCCTAGTCAGTCCGAGCGCACGCTACAAGAGTCAATGTAGCTCCTACGTGTTTTCAGTTTGTATTTAACCTGAGAATAGAAGAGTTCCTATCCGGCAAGGACCAAGGACATCTGAGCTCCGAGCAGAAGACACTTCGCTAAGATAGCGGTGCAAGAAGTTGTAACATTTAAGAGGAAACTTCTGACGACGTTATAAGTTGTGAATAACTGTACTTGCGTGTGTGCAAGTGACTCATAGAGATATTGGGTTTTCGGACTTTATCCATCGTCCTGGTTTTTAAGATAACTAAGAAAAACACGACGTTTCGGAAACAGGATCTGTTTCCGTCCTCAGGTGGGGGAAAACACTTATTCTGTTGGGTCCCTTGGAAAGAGCTAGCCTCAATCACTGGATCAACAGCGATTAAGGCTGGATAAAGTCCGAAAACCCAATATCTCTGTGTGTTATACACCATCGTCAGAATCCTATAGTAACTACGTGCAAGTGACTGTCCAATAAATATTCGTTCAAATCCGGGAACCCACATAGTTTCTTGTGGCGTTGCCTAGCAAAACGCGACAATATAGTACACAAAATTACTAACGGCCATCTTTGATGAGTTCTCTCTTCCCAGATATTACACCATATAATCCATTAAAAGTCAGCTAGAGTTGTGAAGAACGCCTGTTAATTTTCATCTGCTCTTGTGTGATTTGTATTGACGCACTCTTCACTTTGTGACACAGGTTTCCCATTTTCCTCTAGTACT